TAATTATAGTGCATTAATACATGTGTAGACACACCCTCTAACTAGCTACCTACTTCCTAACTCAGGGATAATATCCTAATCCCCAGTTTCTTCTATCTTGTGTTAGGGAACTTCTCTAAATTATAACTTCTATTGCTGCAGTATGTAGTTAAGAATTATGGACTAGAAAAAGAAAAAGTATACCTTTATGGTCTTTTCTGTTTATTGTGATTTTCAAAGCCAGTTAACTGACAGCAAATTATGTTAAATCTCCCTGGCTTGAAATAAAATCAATGTGAGTCATGAAATAGCTATTATTATGAGAGAGAGTCCATCCATAACATATAAGGGATTATGGTCACTGAAAACTGAGTTATTTCTCTTTTTCCCCAAGTACTTATTTATGCTTAGATGAGATGCCATGTCACTCCCTACACTAGTTCCAGCTGCCCAAAACACTGCCAAAGTTGCTTTTTATTGCCAAATCCAGTTTTCTATGACTTGCTCTATCACTTATACCAGAAAGAAGAAAGTGTCTTTTGGAATATATTTTGACTCAAGAACATGCCCTGACTTCCAATGCTGCTTCCCTCCCAGGAGACAGCTCTATAAGTTGCAATTGCCTTTTTCACAACAGTAGTTTCCATGATGGTTTCCTAGCATTTTAGGTTCACCTTTTTTCTATTGGATGTAAAATTATTTGTTTGATATGTAAAGTCTGAGACTACTGTGAGCTCCTTCAGTTAATGCATACTGCTTGATGGAAAGAATCCTAAACATAACCATATCTGACATGAAAAATCCACTGAAGTTCAGCTGCATGCACCAGCTCTCTACCCATAGAGGCCAGAGATCATAAAGTGAAGAAGCTTAATATCTGCTAAAAATAAGATGGTTCACAGTGAAGATCTCACCAGTGAACATAAGGGTGAGCTACAAATAGTTCTTGCAACTAGTAGACTGGGATATCATGAGTCAAAAATTGCTCCATGTTTTGGATGTTTTGTTTGTTTATGCATTATTCAACCATCATAAGTGTTTCCTGTTATAAATGGATGATATGCCAGTGTCAAATTATGAGTTCTTGATTTTGGAACACTATTTTAATGTAAGCTTCTTTGGTCATTTCAGAATTTGTACAGTTTATGAAATCTGTTTGATAATGAGGATTTTCTGTATCAAACTTTTCTCCATTTTGTACATGGTTCTAATTTACCTTCTTTCTTTTGTTTTTACTTCCATGTAGGACTGAAATTCAGAGGAGTGGGAACACAAGGCTTATAATGGAGAGCACTTCAAATGAATGACTCCCATTCAAGTGAAAGCACTCTTAGACCAAAAATAGGATAATCTCCAGGACAAACCATTTTTTCACGTTTGAGCCCTAGGGAAAGGTAGCTAAGTAACTGATCATCTGATGAAGGCTTTTGATTAGCTTATAAGACTGATTGGGGTCACCTGATAAAGGGCTCTAGGGCTTATAAAGGAAAGGAGCTCTCACCAGCTATGTTTGAGGAAAACAGGAGTAGAGGATAACTGGCAGTAGAGGAATAGCAAGAACAATGGCAAGCGCTTCCACAGAGACAAAGACAGTGACAACAACAATTCACACTTGGATACTTGCTATGAATTACCTACCTGAAGAAGCCATATGCAGGTAGGTGGGTCCAAACCAACACACAGAGTTTTAACCAAAGAAGTGAGCTTATGAGCCATGAGGAAACTAATGCAGATTGTATTAATTCTTATGATAGATATTAAAAAGATGTATTGTTTAGTGGAATTCTTACAAATCCTTTTTATGTCTGCCTCCTGTATTTCATGATCTGGGAAAGGTAAATTTAAACTTCAGAGTGCTCAGGAGCGTGGGATTCCAGGAAAAGGGTGTGCTTCAGCCACAGGGATGTCTGGGATGCCAGCATTTTGTCTTGGTGTCCAGCTAGCAAAACTAGGCCAAGATATAAAGGGGTAACATCCTGTGCTCAGAACGTATGGCAGAAAGGCTAACAAAAAGTGACAGTCATGAAGTCTACTGAGCTCAAATAAAGCTTGAAAGTGTTTAAACTTAAGTGTGCCCACGGGTATGTCCAAGAGAGAGAGCTTTATCAGTGTGACACTGCACCTAAATCTTCATTTTTGCATAGTACTCCATTCTAAACTAAGACCTCTAAATTGCAGTAGAAACCTCTTTAATCTTGACAAGGTCAGTTTTTTCAGGGTGTCTACACTGTTTTCTAAGGTGTACTGCAGTATGATGTCAGGAGAATACTAAATATTAAATATACAATAAAAGTGGTCTTAAAAACTTTAGGAATTTTGAATATTTTCATGAATACCTGAGAGTAATATTTCCCCTTTACCATAGATCAGGTTATAAAAGAGCTGACTGATGTATTCTAATCTGGCACTTGGTGATGATGCTGGGAACAGAGAGCACTCATACTTTCTTCTCCAAGTCCTAATGAAATGGCTTTCATTCCTGCCTGACTGACGAGTAACCATGGTGACGCTGAAAGAGGCCACTCAATCCAAAAACAAGTCTCTCTCTTACCATATACTGGACTCATTACAAAACTGAAGTTAGATTCTTCTTTGATTGATGTCTCATTAGATAATCTGAATGTCTTTTTTCCCAGTGTATGGTGCTTACCTTCACCTCAGGTGGCCCAAATTTCTGGTTTGGACCAAAATGATAATTTTCATGGTCTTATTCGGAATTTTACTATTATCTTCATTGGGGCTGGATCTTTATTAGAGCTGTGTCCATTACTTATTAGGGACTTCTTAAAAACTATGTTGCACCCTCATTCTATATTACCAGTCTTCTGGGCTTATTTGCAATGAGGAGAACTAGACTGCTACTTGAATGGGACAATCTCATTAATTTTGAAAGTTTGTTTGCCAATATAATTTGGTTAGTAAAATTGTCTCTTCAGGGCCACTCCTGGGACAGATGCTGTATATGATTTCTCTCAATTTTTCTTGCTATTGTGCTTTCTTGCCTTTCTCTTGCTTCAAGTTGTCAGTTTTCTTTATCACCTCCTTGTTTCAGAGACAAAGGTATATTTTGAGATCAACATAAGTCTCTCCTGAGTTCTCCATTAAGTAAACAAAGAGATACTTTTGTTTCTCCTGCTCTAGTTTATATCAATGCCATCTGAGTCCAACTTCATAGATGGAAGAAAAGAAAAAAAATTTTGTGAAAATTTCATGTCTGTATTCTGTGCCAAAGAATATATAGAACCTTTTCTTTCTGAATATTGCCCTAAGAATGCTACCAAGAAGACAATTTGTGGATGCTTTATGTGCTAAAAAAGAGAGACTTTTTGAATATTAGCCCCATTAAATTCTCATTATTTACAGATAAAGCAGTTTGAATTATCCTTGTATTTTTTTCTGGTTTTCTGCTCTTTCCATTATTCTTATCAGCAACAATTTTGTCATTTTAAGTGCCCAAATTTATAGTAAGTATTTAATTATTTTGACAGTTTATAGCAAAATATGTATTGAAAGGGAAACAGTTGAATTATATGAACCATTACCTACATAGAAACAGGAAAACTATCAAAACCAACCAAAATCCAGTAAGAAAAAGGGAAATAAAGTTGGGGGGGAAAAGGGTTTTTTTTCAATACTAGTGTTTCATCCAATACCATTGAAAGTAATGGGGACATTTTCTCTGACTTCAGATGGGTTTGGATCAGGTTCATAATGTATGAATGTAAGAAACTGTAAGTTACATTTCTATCCATCTCATTCAAGCAATGTAAACCAATATAATCCTGTACAGAGTGAAGAGAAAAGACTCAGTCTTTCAGTGTATCTACTTTTTAATTTTTAATAATATAGGCAAAGAAACACATGTTAGTATTTTTTTACTCTCACATTCTCCTAGCATTAGGACCAATTTCAGTTTGTGGCCTCCTTCCAATCATATATTCAGACACATTATTTTATGTATACATTGTAAAGCACTAAAAACAATTAATCCACTGAGATACCATAATAAAACAAGATTGTACTGCATAAGTGTAAAATATGTAATAGTCATTTGAAATATAGGAAAATAAATATAATTATCAAATGTAGTTTTGTGAACAATTAATGCTATCCATAATTACAATATGCAAACAAAGAAACCACACGGGAACAATTGCACAATAATGAGTTTTTAGGTCGTGATTGCAAATTTGTATCTGAAGTAGCGCAAATGTAACTATCATAAATAAAATGTGTTAGATAGCAGGGGAGGAACAACTTAATGACTTTAAAATGCTTGTTATCTTAAGGAAAACACCAAAGAAACCAATCACCTAAATAACATTATGGGCCAGATGCTTATCTTCCACACAGCTACAATTTATATTGTTATACTGATAATTTATTATTTGTTTATAGAAATACAAACTATGTAACAGTTAAACATGAAGAAAAGAATTATTTCCATCCTGAAAAGCATACAAATATTTTAGAAGACTTAAACAAACCAAGTGATGGAGTACTAAAAAGGGAAATGGCAAGCAAATATCATAAAAAGGGGGAACAAAATCACTTTTTATTTTCAAAATTAGAAGTTTCATATTTAACAGAATAGAATATCTCCATTTTACTGGAGATAATTCCACAAAGAAGCCATTTTGAAAGAGGGTAGTTCTATCTCCTCCAGTTGTCCTCAATGGATCTGAATCCAACATGTTCAGAAGGGTCCACAGAGAAACAAAAGGGATTGCTTGCAATGAATATTTGACCAGCTTCAGTTTTGACACTATAATAGTTTCCATCCGTTATAATCCATCCTGCCTATGAACATGTGTTAAATGGTCCCAGATTGGCCTCTATGCAGGTCATGAGCAGTTAATATGTGTAGAATCAATAGTCCATGGATTATCCATTATATTTTATTATAATCCTTATTCATACTTATTTTTATTGTGCCTACCTTCTAAAGCTCAAAATATAACAAAATCTTCTAAACACAAGCTCTCTAATCAAAGTATGGCTGAACAGAAATACACAGAGATTCAAATTTAGTCAAATTTCCACTTTATCTATCTTCTCATAATTTGTAATTACATAAGTCTTCACATATTGCGTGGTTTTTCAGACAAGATATGCTGTAAATACAAAAGCAAGACAAAAAGTAGGTTTACGTTTAGATTTAATTAATTTAGGCATTTTGGAAACTTGGTAGAAGGATGAAAATCAGTTGGTAACACCAAGGTGTATTTCATAAAGGAATGACACAGAGTAGGTCAGGCTTGGAGTCAGAGGAGAAGCACTAGATGCTAAGAAAAGTATAGAGACAAACAAGGTAGAAATTGTAACAAAGTGCACCACAGAATTTCTATGCTCAAAAAGAAGACTACAAGTATGTAGTCTTACCAACATATGTAAGTATGTTGGTAGCAAGAGGAGGATCAGGGAGGGTGCAGATCTCTTACTGAATGGAGGAGCCACCTAGTGGGAGGACTCAGAAAAAGAGGAAGTGCTCAATGCCTTTTTGCCACATTCTTCACAGACAAGGTCAGCTCCCAAACTATTGCACCAGGCAGCACAGTTTGAGGAAAAGATGAGCAGCCCCCAGTGGTGAAAAAACAGGTTAGGGACACCTTAGAAAATGTGGACGTGTACAAGTCCATGGGGCTGGATGGCATGTACCTGATGGTGCTGAGGGAGTTAGCTGGTATGATTGCAGTGCCATTGGCCATCATGTTTGAAAACTCGAGATGATCAGAAGAGGACCCAGATGATTGGAAAAGGGTAAACATAGGTCCATATTTAAGAAAGGGAAAAAGGAGGATCCAGGGGACTACAGACCAGTTAGCCTCACCTCAGTCCTGGAAAAATCATGGAGCAGATCCTCAAGGAATCCATTTCTACAAACTTAGAGGAGGAAAAGGTGATTAGGAACAATCATCATGGATTCAACAAGGGCAAGTCTTGCCTGAACAACCTGATTGACTTCTATGGTGAGATGACTGGCTCTGTGGATAGGGGGAGACCAGTGGATGTGGTGTGCCTTGATTTTATCAAGGCTTTTAATACGGTCTCCCACAACATTCTGGCAGGCAAGCTAAGGAAGTATAGTCTGGATGAATGGACTGTAAGGTGGATAGAAAACTGGCTGGGGCATTGGCTCAGAGTAGCATTAAATGGCCCAATGTCTAGTTGGCAGCTGGTAACAAGCAGAGAGCCTCAGGGATTGGGCCGGGGGCCAGTTTTATTCAATGACTTCATCAGTGACCTAGAAGATGGCATAGAGTACACACTCAGCAAGTTTTCAGAGGACAAAGAGCTGGGGGCAGTAGTAGATATGCTGGACAGTAGGGATAGAATTCAGAGGGACAAAGACAAATTGGAGGACTGGGCCAAAAGAAATCTTGTGGGGAACGTTCAGACAAGCCCTCACATGCCTCTTGCAGCATCTCAAACCCCTCTGAGATGCTGCAAGAGGCACATGTGGGAACAAAAGAACATACTCCACACTGCAAATTTGCAGTGGGGGAGCAAAATTAGACCTCTGGACATACAGGGGTCAAACAATACCCGGGGGGAAAAAACAAAGTTTCATAGTTTCTAGGGTTGGAAGGGACCTGAGTA